AAGAGTTGATCTTGTCTGCTGCTAATGACATTTGCTGTGAACTTTTAGGAGAGGCTGCAGGTCAAAAGGTACCATATGTTCCCCTTCTGGGTAGCATCATGACTAGACAAATTGATGAAACAGTAGAAGACACTGAGGCACAAATGTTAGACAGGATTAATGAGTCACTGTGGTGGTATACAATCCATATTGATGAGTCTACCAATGTTGGTAAGGCAACAATGCTTGTTTTTGTGAGATACATTTTTCAGGAAGAGATGTACAAGGATATATCATGTGCACTTTTGTTACCAAACAATACCACAGCTGCAGAACTATTCAAAATATCTCAGAGTGGCTTTGATTTGCATTTCTCTGATGATTAGGAACAATGAACATTTTTTTTTCATGTGTTTCGTAGCTATTTATCTTCTTCAGAGAAATTTCTGCTCAAGTCTCTTGTCAACACACAAATGGAATTATTTGCTCTTTTGTGTTGAATAATTTGAGCTCTCTATAGAGTCTAGTTATCAGTCCTATAGCAGACACTCCACAGATTTCTTTTAGGAAAAAGTCACCCCTGGTAGCACATTTCAATGACACAGAATGGGTCACAAAACTTGCTTACTTGTGCGACATATTTAATCTGCTTAACTAATTCAATCTACCACTTCAGGGGAGAATGACAACTGTGTTTGAGATGGCAGATAAACTGGCTGCATTCAAAGCAAAACTGGAATTATGGGGTCAATAAGAGAACGTTGAGATTTCTGATGTTTCAAACATTAATGGAGATTTTTGAAAGAGACTGAGCCAGGGCATTCTGTCTTTAGACTGACATACAATCACCTATCTCAGCTGTCAAAAGAATTCGAGCATTACTTCCCAACCACAAAAGACCCCCAAACTGAGGAGGAATGGATCCATGACCCATTTGTGAAGAAACCAGATGAATCAATTTTGTCTAAAAGAGACATTCTCTCAATTTTGTCTAGAAGAGAGCATCTCTTAGTGCTAGAAGAAAATCAACTACTTGAGATCACAAATGATGGTGGCCTTAAAAGTAGGTTTGAGAAAACTACAAATCTCCTTATGTTCTGGATTAAAGTCAAAGTGGAATATCCTGAGACTGCCACAAAACCACTACAAGTCCTGCTTCCATTTCCAACATCCTTTCTTTGCAAAGAAGGGTTTTCAGCAGTGATGGCAACCAAAATGAAATTACAGAGTAGAGTGGACATACACAACACACTTCAAGGGTCGGTCACTGTTTCCTATCATTCCCAGAGAGGAATTACAGTAAAACAAGCTTATAGTTCCAACTGATTCTGTATTATGGTGAGCTATATAATTATTTCATTATATATTACAATGCAATCATAATAAAAATAAAGTGTACAATAAATGTAATGTGCTTGAATCACCCTGGAGGCCATCACATTACCTGACCTCAAATTATACTACTATAAAGCTATAGTAACCAAAACAGTATGATACTGGTATAAAGGTAGAGAAACAGATCAAGAAAATAGAATAGAAAACTCACAAATAAAACCATATAGCTACAATGAACTGATTCTTGATAAGCAGACAAAAACATATACTGGGGAAAGAACACCCTATTCAATAAATGGTGCTAGGAAAACTGAATAGCCACAGACAAGAATGAAACAGGATTCCTATCTCTTGCCATACACAAAAATTAACTCAAGGTTTATTAAAGACTTGGTAAGGCATGAAACCATAAAAATTTTACAAGAAATTGCAGGAAAAATTCTGCTGGACATCAGTCTAAACAAAGAATTATGACTAAGTCATAATTTAGTGCTAATAAATATTTTTGTAGAATCAAAGGCAATACAACAACAAAAATAAATAAATGGGACTTAATGAAATTTATGTTTCTGCACAACAAGGGAAATAATCAAAAGAGTAAAACAGAATGGGAGAAAATACTTGCAACTATCCATCAAAGGGCTAACATCCAAAATTTAAAAAGAACTCAAACAAATCAGCAAGAAAACAAACAAACAAACATTAAGAAATGGGCAAAAGATATGAAGAGAGCTGTCCAAAAGAAGACAGGCAAATAGCCAATAAACATAAAAAAAAGTTCAACATGATGAATCATCAGGGAAATGCAAATTAAAATGATACCTTACCCCATCAAAATATCCATTATTAAAAAATAAAAAAATAGATATTGCTGTGGATGTGGTAAAAAGGGAACATTTATATGCAGTTGACAGGAGTATAAATTAGTACAACCTCTGTAGAAAACAGTATGGAGACTCCTCAAAGAACTAAAAGGAGACCTACCATCTGACTCAACAATCCCACTATTGTATCTCTACCCAAGGGAAATCATATTGAAAAGACAACAGACAAGAACAAAGCAAGAATATCCAAGTCTTACCACTTATATTCAACACTGCACTAGAAGTTCTACTAGTGGAATAAGACAAGAAAAAGAAATAAAAGGCATGAAGACTGAAAGGAGACATAAAACTGTCTTTATTTGCAGATGACAAGATCACAGCAATAGCTATAAAGAATCTACAAAAATATTTATTAGCACTAAAAAACAAATTTAGCAAAGTTATAGAACAAAAAGACAAAAATCAATTCTGGATTTATAGGGTAACAGAGAATAATCAGAAAATTTTAAATACCATCAAAACTATATAGGAGTAAGTTTAGTGAATAATTCTTAATAAATATACACAGTAAACAACAAAACAATGCAAAGAAAGTTAAATGTTCATGAACTCTCTTAATTAAGTTGGTCCAAACTGATGTATAAATTAAGGCGATCTCAATTAAAATTCTAGCAAGTTTTGAAGAAAGTGACAAGCTGATGCTAAAACATAGAAATCAAAAGACAAAGAACAGCCGAAACTTATTTGAAAAAGAATAAGATTGGAAGATTCAGATTACCTTATTTGGAGACTTTTATAAAGCCACAGAAACCAAGACAATATAGTATTAGCAAAAGGATAGATATAAAGATCAATGGTACTAATAAACCTTAGCAATTTATGGTCAACTGATTTTTTAACAATGGTGTTATGGTTATTTAATGGGGGAAAGAGTATTTTTCACAAATGGTGCTAGAACTACTGGTTATTATACGGGAAAAAAACCTTGACCCTTAACCCAAAGCATTAACAAAAATTAATCTGTAATGGATCACAGATCTAAATATAACAGCTAAATTTTTAAACTTACAGAAGAAATCACAGAACTCTTCATGACATTAGGTTAGATAGGTTTCTTAACACACAGAAACCTCAAGCCACAAAGAAAAAAAGTGAAAGAGCAGACCATAAAATTAAAAACTTTAAGTCTTTGAAAAATAGTTAAGAAGACAAACCACAGGCTGAGAGAAAATATTTGCAAAACATATACATAAAAAGGGGATTATATACAGAATATAAAGCACTCTTACAAATCTACAATAACACATACAAAAGAGCCAACAACCCAATTTAAAAATGGACAAAAGATATGAACAGACTTTTCACAAAAGATAATATATAAACAGCAAAAAAGCAATATACTATGCTTAACATTAATCATTAGAGAAACATAAATTATAACCACAATGGGCCAGCACTGGTCACCCAGTAGAATGGCTAAAGTTAAGAAGACAGATAGTGTCAAACGATGGCAAGGATGTGGAACTAAAACTTTTATGTTAATGGGAATAAAAAAATGACATAGATATAAAATGATACATACAAAATAGCACCAGATAGTCTGCCACTATCCACTAAAGCTGAATGTACACATATAATGATGGATATACATAACAATCACTGATTTTATTAACAAAAATAGAGAAAATAACAAATACCCCATTGATAAGAGAATCCATAAATAGAGGTATATTCAAACAACACAGCAGTGCATGGTAATAAAAATGAAGGAACTATTGCATAATGCTTACAAATGCATTAGTTGGCCTACTCTTTAAGCTAGGCAATGGAGTTTGTTACTGCTCTTCTACAGGGCTCAGTATGTATAAATATCCTCTTGTGTGTATCTGATATTTAACAATCTTCCAAATCTACTAAAAGGAATCAATAATGAAGAGCTCAAATGCTGCAAAAATGTTAGTTCTTCCCATTTAATTTATAAATAAAAACATCCTAATTAAAGAGAGAGAAAGAACATTTAAAGTAGAGAAAATTAGCTAACTACAGTACTTGCCCTTTATCAGTATTATGCAAACTTAAGGATGGACAAACAATAAAAAGCATTTCTAAGAAACATTATGCAAATGTAAAAATTCTTTTAAAGAATTTTTTAAAAGTTGAGAAGCCACTGAAAGTAAAACTTGACTACATTCCCTTACCAAATTCATTCTACAGTAAAACAATTGCAAAAAAATTATTAAACTGTAATTAAAATGCCTTCTATTAGAAATGTATAAATCAGTTCCATTCTGATAATACATACTAAAAATGTGCAAAAATATTTCTTTTTATTTCCTATGCTCCTGAAAGAATTTAAAGGACTGTACAGAAATAAATACCTTCTCCTTCAACAAAGAATATAAGACAAAATAATGAGGAAATTGAGGAATTAAAAAAATGACAATAAAGCTATGATGAAGGTTAATACAGAAAAGCAAAACCATGATGAGCTCTTACACATTTTTTTACTGGCTGAAATTTGGCTCTAAATTTGTAATAAACTATAGCAAAGAAGAAAACACAACTAGTTAAGAGATAATTATGTTAATAAACTATCTGCTCAAGGATCATTAGCTTTTCTTAAGACTAATGTAGAGATAAGTGTTTCCTATGAATTTTAAAGAACTAAAAATTTTTAAGAACTAAAAATCAACCATTAAGCCACTAAAATACCCAGCAGATTAATAAAACCAATGGTTTGCTAGGGTAGCAGATACTGGAGAAAATATATAAAAATAATTTGCAATCGAATTATTAAATAAAATGATTAATGATGTCACTTAATATTCAACATAACACTTAACAGTCACAAAATTTACTAACCTTCCTGAATTGCCATGTCCACAGTTATTCCAGAAGTTGAATGCAGAAGTTTTTGGTAATTCTGCGCATTTTGGTCAAATAACTGTACAAGAAGAGTACATGTCTTTTCATATTCACACCTGCTGACAGTACACAACTGCTCCAGCTGCTGAAACACAGTGGCAGTATCATCCAGGGGATCATCTAAATGATCTCTGCAAACATGTAAGTTTAAAGATACCATTAGAATTCGATGTACTTTTATTCACCACAAATAAACTTTATGCTAAATAAAAATTCTATAAAGGATAAAGAAAAAAAGAGAAATGGGTTGGAAGGTAAGAAATAAAACTGTCTATATTTGCAGACAATATGATTAATATATGGAAAATATCAAAGAAACCACAAAAAAGGCACTAGAACCACTACATGCGTTTATTAAGGTCACAGCATAGAAGGTCTATATCAATTATTATATATTACTATATACTGACAATAAACAATTTGAAATTGAAATTTAAAAAGCAGTACCCTACCAAGGCACAGGAAACATAAAATACTAATTAAATCTAATTAAACATATGCAAGATCTGAATGCTAAAAACTACAAAACACTGATAAAAGAAATCAAAGAGCTAAATAAATTAAAGATACACATGCTCATTGGTTGGGAGACTTGATACAGCTGAAATATCAATTCTTTCCCCAAATTAATCTATAGATTCATTGCAATCCCAGTCAAAATCCCAGCAGCATTTCTATGTAGGAACTGAGAAACTGATGCAAAAATTCACATGGAAAAGGAAACAAGGCAGAATTGCCAAAACAATGTTGAAAAGGGAAAAGCAAGTTGGAGAATTCATACTATCTGGTTTTAAAGATACTTATAAAGCTATAGTAATCAAGACAGGGTACTGACAGAAGGATAGACACATAGATAAATGAGAAACAGAAACTCACCTATGTGAGTCCAGAAATAGAATCTCATGTTTGTGGTCAATTAATTTTTGACAACACTGTAAAGGCAACTCAAATGGAAAAAGATAGTCTTTTCCACAAATGATGTTAAAATAACTGATCATCCATAAACAAAAAAACAAACAAAAAAGATTTGAGCTCTGTTTCAGATGGTATACAAAAATTTGGCTTGACACAGATCATAGACCTAAATGTAAATCTGAAAACCAGACAACTTCTACAGGAGAAAATAAAAGAAAACTGTTGTACCCTTGAGTTAAAGACTCCTTAGATACGATGCCAAAAACATGATAAATAAAAGAAAATAAAGAATAAATTATAATTCATCAAAATATAAAACTTTTCCAAAGACTCTGCTGAAGAACTGAAAAGGTAAATGACAGAATGAAAAGAAAATATCTGCACAACAAATGAATAAATAATAAAAAAGGTCTGTGAACAGAATGTATAGAATGCTCAAATCTCAATATAATAAACAACCCAATTAGAAATGAACAAGATTTGACACTTTGCCAAAGAATCCACAGAAATGGCAAGTAAGTGCATAAAAAGACGCTCAATACTATTAGTCATTAAGGAAAAATTATAATGAAGTACCACACCACCTATTAAAGTGACTAAAATTGTTTAAAACTGACAATATCGGCTCGGCGCCTATAGCTCAACCGGCTAAGGCGCCAGCCACGTACACCTAAGGTGGCGGGTTCGAATCCCCAGCCCGGACCCACCAAACAACAATGACGGCTGCAACCAAAAAATAGCCAGGCGTTGTGGCGGGCGCCTGTGGTCCCAGCTACTTGGGAGGCGGAGGCAAGAGACTCGCTTGAGCCCAGGAGTTGGAGGTTGCTGTGAGCTGTAATGTCACGGCACTCTACCCAGGGTGACAGCTTGAGGCTCTGTCTCAAAAAATAAATAAATAAATAAATAAAACTGACAATATCAAGTGCCGGTGAGAGTGCAGGACAATTGAATCTTTCATACATTGCTGGTGGAAATGCAAAATGGTTATTAGCCACTTTGGAAAGTCGTTTTGCAGTTTCTTATAAAGTAAAATATATACTTACCATGCAACCCAGGAACCCAAACCTAGCTATTTACTCTAGAGAAACAAAAACTTACGTTCATACAAAAATCTGTATAGGAATGTGTACAGCAGTTTTATTCACAGTTGGCAAAACCAGCAACAAACCAAACGTCCAGCAGTAAGTGTCTGGGTAAATAAACCAATAAACTGTACATAATATTTCCACCAAATGGACTACTTAGCAATAAAAAGGAGAGAACTACTGATGCAATATTGAGAAAGAGACTAAAGCTACAGACTATGTGATTTCACTTATGCAAAATTCTGAAAAGGCAAAAATTACAGGGAAACAAAAATGTATCTGTAATTGCCAGGATGAGGATAAGGAAAGGAATGACTACAAAAGAATCCAACAGAACTTTTTGGGGGTGATGAAACTATTCTATATTTTATAGCATATGCACTTAAAAGAACTCATGAAACTATACACTAAAAAAGGTAAATTTCAAATTTATACCTCAATCTTAAAAAATTCCAAGATGTAAAAGATAAAGATACAACAGAAACATTTAGTTTTTCAATACCTCACGACTATGGCAACAGATTCCAACCGAGAAGTGATAAAGGCTTTTGTGATTTCAGGTGCGTAAGTGTCTAACAGGTGGGGTTCAGTTGACTTCACAAAAGGAACTGATGCTACCATCCTTTGCCACAGAGTTAATAAATAATGAACGCTGTTAGGAGCAAATTCCCAGTGCTACAAAAAAATAAAACAAAAGCTATTTAAAATAATATTACTAAACATCCATTTTAAAATCAATTTTTATTCTGATTATATAATAAACACTTTGTATGTCAAATTTTACAAACACACAAAAAAGAAATAACATTTCTCACTTTGCCACTGAGAGCTGGTAACTATTAAAATGTTACTGTACTTCCTTCTAATTGTTCCACGAATATTTTTCAGAGTCAACATCATGGAAAATATGGTTTTATATCTTCTCCCCTAAACTTATAAAAAGAACTTTTCTATAATACGACCTGTAAAAATATACTTTCATTTCCTCACATAGGTTTTACTACAGCTTCTCCACTCACTTTTCACTTTTTAGATATTTAAGTAGCTTCTTAATTTTTATTATTATAAATGTTAATAATGAACTTTTTCATCTAAAGCTTTATAATGAACATGTTCAGAAAATTACTCAAATTAAGAGATTTAAAAAAAAAAAAAACCCTTACCAAGAAATTGTTTTAAAACTGACTATAGTTCGGGCAGCACCTGTGGCTCAAAGGAGTAGGGCATCAGCCCCATATGCCGGAGGTGGCAGGTTCAAACCCAGCCCCGGCCAAAAACTACAAAACACACACACAAAAAAACCGACTATAGTTCAATATCAAAAACTGATATAGTTCAATATCAATTATGCATTTTTACTTACCTGTAGACTAGTAATGGTAAAATTAGCAATCAATCTGATAACTTCAGGATATTCCTTCACCATAACTAATTCTCCCAGCTGATAATTTGTCTTTAAACGAGCCAAAAATCGACAAAACTCATGATAATTACCTGGATCAGACAAACCCTAAATTATGAGACAAGAAAGGCTTTTAAAAGTACTTAAAAACAAAGCAACTCGTTAATAATAAAATTCCAAAGCATTTATTTTTTATTATCATTTTATTAAATCTTCCAGTTTTTGTTGGTCCTTACGGTACTCTACGCTAACTAGGTAATTAAAAATGTTAAGCAAAGAGATTTTTCCTAGATTAAATAACATCATCAGTGATTAATAAAACAGAATTCAAAGTTGAGATTTTGGAAGAAGTTTTGCACCACAATGACAACATTTTATTTGGAAATGTATAGTATTACACAAAAATGTGTGTGTGTGTACTGTAGCTCAAACAGAAGCCAACAAAAGACTTAAAATTTTTTCAAGATGAAAATAAAGTGGGTACTTAAAACCCTGGGAAAAAAGTAATAATAGAACTTAAGTTAAATCGCATATGTGTGTGCATACAGATTATAGATATTTCTTTTAATCTGACAAACACTTATTGAGTACCTGGGGCTCTGTCCCTTCAAACAACTCCTGCCTGTAAGTAAACAGCTATTCAAATAAATCACTGCAAAGCAGAGAACAAAGTTTAACAAAAAACCTACAAGATACATGTATAAATTTAGGAGGAGGAGAAATGAAAAAGAAAGACCAAGAAAAACATCCCCTGCTGCCTCTGAGTTCCTTGAACACGGGGTACATGTGTTATTATCTCTATGGTTTGTGTGCTTCGGCTGTATGCACTGTAGTTGGCATGAAACAAAATTCAAAAAGTAACACTGCAAGTTTCTAAGAAATTTCATTCATAGGATATATTCTAAGAATATAACATAATATCTAATTGTTAATGATAAATTACAAAAAGACATTTTGTAATCATATGTAATGAATATGATTCTAAAATAAACTAATATTCATACTAAATAACCATAAAATATCGGTAAGAGGATATTGGGAATCATTTAAGAGTGGTATCAGGCACACAGCTAAAAATTTAAATGTATATGTTAAAATCTTACTTATCAGTAAAACAGGTAAATTTCACAGCTATACAATAATGAAGTGATAAAACAACTGGATTTCCCAAAAATCACTCCTAAAACTAACCTTCAAAAAACTGTTTTTTTAGTATAAAGATATGTCCCCCCAAAAGTTATTAATAACTAAGACTTAGATAAACCTTATTGAATCATCATTCAACCTTTAAAAATCTGTACTTTAATTTCAAATTTTTAGGTTTTTTTTTTTGGCCGGGGCTGGGTTTGAGCCCACCACCTCCAGCCTATGGGGCTGGCACCCTACCCCTTTGAGCTACAGGCGCCACCCTCAAATTTTTAGTTTTTTTAAGAAACAGAGTCTCACTCTGATATCCAGGTTAGGGTCCAGGGGCATAATCATAGCTCACTATAACCTCAAACTCCTCAGCTCAAGCAATCCTACTGCCTCAGTCTCTCAAGTTGCTAGGAATATAGGTGTGGACCACTAACACCCAGCTAATTTTTATATAAATTTATTTATAGAGACAGAGTCTCACTGTTGTCTGGGCTGGTCTTCTGACCTCAAGTGATCTTTACACCTCAGCCTCTCAATACACTAGGATTACAGGTATGAACTACTGCACCCAACTTAATTACAGACATTTCAAACCAAAAACAAAATAAAAAATGAAACAAAGTATTTTGTTTAGGTAACCCAACTCACTCATTAGTAATGACTTTGCAATTCTTTGAAATGAGTATTGCCACTGAAGCTCTGGAGTTAAAGTAGATTTTAAAATCTACAAACTCTTACTTGTCCAACAGAGGGCAAGAAGACATTATTGCATAATTTAAAAGCACTTGCTTCAATATTAAGATTCAGATTCAGATTAAGTCTTCTACTTTAGAAGGTAGATAGAACCCTAAGCACTTCAGTAGTTTAAGTGCAAGCAAAGAAATGTAGTAGAATCATAAAAGACAGAAAGAAGCATAATAAGACAGATTAACCTTTATGTGTATTTGCCTAAAGATAAAAAATAAAAAGAGTAACACAGAAATCCAAAATGGAAACATCCTGTTTTAAATAGTGCCCATTTCTTACTACAAATGAAATCTAAGAAAGATTAATATGAACCTAAATATTTTCTTTCAGAATCATAATAAATTCGTAAGTTTATTATGTGCCTTTGAGCAGAAAAACTTATTTCCATATGCTAAGTATTAATTAAATTACTTTATAAATACCTGAGGGTTTTCAAGTATCCTTTTTACTCCCTTAATTAAATTACCAAGGTACTTAGCACGTTCAGGACTGCTAAATAAGGACCTTCTTGTAGAAGCAAACTGAACTAAACATGAAAGTGCCTAAAAACAACAAAAAAATTCATTTCAATTTTAAAAGTAATTATGGCCACATGTAAAAAAATACCAGCCTTTACATTTAAAATGTAATTAATTTCAATGATAAAAAAGCTTTATAGACCAGGGAAATAATGAAAGCTAAACATCATCAGCCACTACCACCACCCACAATTCTTCTACCCCATCATTAAAACTCCTATTTGTGAATAAAAAATATTCGCAAATATTTTTTCATATACAAAATCTGCCTGGAGATGCATAAGTTCAAAAGGTTCCCAACTGCCTAGCTCTGCTTGAAAACCAATGAACCAGGTGTTCTACCAAAAAGAAAATAACGTTTCTGTGGTACAATTATGTTTGGGAAATACTGCACATTATGCACGGTGATATCCTGCAAGAGGGGAAAAATCCTGTAACCTAATCCAGTACATCTCAAACTTACTTGGTCATGCAATGTTTTATACTATACACTAGTATCTTAAAGATCAGTTTGGAAAATGCTGCTGCTGACAGAATAAACAAAAATGTGACAAGTAGCTTAAGTAGCATACATCCCAGAAAATGTAAGAACTTATTGTGAGAGGTAACCTAAATCAAATATATAAACTAAAGTTTCGATGTAAATATATACCACCCCTTACTTTAATTAGATAGAGATCACAGGTACTTTTTAATGAAATAATGAATAACTTTTACTTACTAACTGAGACAGTAGTGGTGGAAGTGAATGATACAAATTGAAGAAAAGATCCAATGTTTCTGGTTCCAGGAAAACTGGAAAAGAAATTATTTTATAACACCATTACTTTCAATTCAGAGATCTTAACAAAGTATGATGTTATTATATTAAATGAAAACTACAAGACCTCTGCATGTGGCCACTCTTTTCAGGTTAAAAAAATTTTTAATTCCTAGTTATCTCCCTTTGAAAAATGAAATAATACAAAGATCAAAATTAACTAGCTAAGCTGTTCTTCATTTCTATGTAGCATCTCCAGTTCTAACTGGGAGAACCTTGTTAATATTTTCATTTGTATTAAAATAATATAAACACTGCTTAAAAATTCAAATGGTATCAAAAAATGTACAGCACTAAAAAGCTAAACATACTCCATTTCAACTACCTTTCAATTATTTTAGCTGTATTTACATACATTTCCAAATAATATTATATACTACTATATATAGTATCTATACTTTGATTGTTTTGTTTTCGGTATCAACTGTATTCCTATTAGAGTATGTGAAGCTTTAGCTGTCATCCCCACTACTCCCACTACTCTTTTCAAAATCCATCCTCTCAAAAATCCATCTGCTATTATCACAATTTGCAATTAAATCAATTCTATGTGTTTACATTTATTATGACTACACAAATAATATGAACAGCTGAGTCAAGAAACATACTGTCATATCACATTTCTAATACTCACTGGACTCCTTAATCACAGCATCTTTCCTGTGCTTAGTTGTATGTATATGTGTATGTATGTGTACGTGTGCATGTATACTTGGACAGGTTTGCAAGATGCTTTTCATGACATGTTTCACACAATCAATAGCACCAAGTAATCTATCATCTGCATTCTTACACCCCTACCTCCCAGAGCCTTTATCTTGAACTGGCTGTTCCCTAACTTTATTATACAACTCTGATCTCTTTATTTCTGCTTACTGTTGTTTTGTGTTAAAGTAACCTTTTCATAAATCACGTATTTTCTGCTTTACTGGCTTGAAAATCAAGTAGCTTGGCTCGGCGCCTGTGGCTCAAGCGGCTAAGGCGCCAGCCACATACACCTAAGGTGGCAGGTTCGAATCCCCAGCCCGGGCCCGCCAAAC